GGGGGGGGCAAAAAAAATCTTGCACCAAGGCCCTTTGTTCCTTAGGTCAGCCACTGGCATAGAGTGTCCCATCTCTAATAACGTCACCCTCTGGGTATTGTCGGTATTGCTGGAGATATTTCAGGGTTGACAGTGGGGATTTAGAGTGGAATTAAAGAGTACAATTAGAGTATCTAAACACAAAAACAGAAATTGTACATATTGCAGCTTACTAATATTTAATTTTAGGGTTTTTCCTTTTTTCACCTGGTGATCTGGCCAGCCCAGTAACACATTACCTGACTTAGGTCGGATCCACTCTATGAAGGAGCATCAGAGCCCCCCTTGGACAACATAAATGAATAAACGCTTACCATTGTAAGCGCCCCTGACCAGCCTGGTCTGTACAAATAAGTATAAAAATAACAGACTAACTGGCCAGATCACAAGGTGAAAATAAAGGGGAAAAAAACTGAAAAAGAAAACGAATGCAGCCACCACATTTAGGAATTGGTAACCTGCAATATTTAGGGGTATGTAGCTGCTTTTATATGATAAGCAAAATGAATGCAATACTTTGTGGTTCAAATTTGTGTTTTAACATTGAATTTAAAATAACACTGTAGGCTGCTGTTTTAGGAATGTTACTTGTTCAAGAAGTGCTTTTGAGTAACTCAAACAATTTCCTTGGCGTGCAGGATTCTAACTATATAGAAGAGATCACTAAAGACAATAGGATATCTTTGATCTTTTCACTCAAAGAAGAAGTTGGAGCTCTGGCCAAGGTCCTGCGCATATTTGAGGTGTGTTTTCTACATATGCTTTTAATCCTTGCCGTACAGTTTTAATTGTGATACACTGTTACTTACTGCAGGTTAATGTACTGGTGCTATAGAATCACAGCACAGTAATGATGTAATTGTATAGGTGGCACTTAAAGGAGGTCACACAGATTTTCAATTATTGTTTACCCTCTTTATGACTTTATAAGTCCAAATGTAAAATACTTCTTGCCATGAGAACGTTCATTAACCTTGCAGCAGAGAACCAGGAATGTGCAACTGTGTGGGCTCCTAGTTCTCAAACCCGCTGTCAATCATGAAAATTACAGCTTTAAAGCGGAAGTTAAGATTTTTAAAAAGGTGCTTACAGGCAAGCCTAAAGAGGAACTTTAGAAATGTTTAGCATTGGCGATCTACAAACACATATCTATAGATAAACGCTTGATTTTTATTCCTTACATACCTTATTTTTATATTTCCCCCTATTCTTCTCACAGTGGCCATTTTTACAAAGGGCAGATTACTAGATCCCCCTTTACATCCTGGAACTCTGGCACATGTGACTGCACATCACCTCAGGGGAGGAAAATGCCTTTCCCTGAGATCTCATTAGATTACAGATGAGATTTACCAGCAATGCTTTGCTGATGTAGCCTCCCCAGGCATTACATCATTAATGCCCAAGAGGACCTTGAAGTGGGCAAAAAATAAATTGTAATTAAAAGAAAAATATGTTTGTTTAACTGGTGAATGGAAGATGATTTCATATCAGCATGCAGGGCTGCACACAGGGACGGATTCCCCACAAGGCCACCGAGGCCCAGCCTCGGGGCGGCAGGGAGCAGAGGGCCGGCAGCGGTGTGGAATCCCCCAACGCCCGGAACATACCGTTCCGGGCGCCGGGCGGTAAGTTGCTTTCTACATTTAGTCCTGCTTTGGGAAGGCAGGACTAAATGTAGTGTGAGGAAGCCGATTATTCGTTTACAAGTGATCGCGGCGATGTCGCCGCAATCACTTGTAATATGCCTGCAGGCTGTTCGTCCTCCCCTCCCACCTGCACCTACCTCTCTCCTCTTGCTTTGTCCTCCGGGCTCCGTCCTCCCCCCGGCCGCCGAGTCCGTGTAAAACTAACCCTATTGCTCCTTGTAAACAGTGAGAGGGGAGAGCAGTCTTCCATTCTCACCTGTCACAGGAGTTCCAGCACAGTGCTGTGCTAGAACTCCCGTTTTGGAGGTGATAGGGTCAATAAAGAGAACCTGTCACCTCCAAAGGCTATCACACAGGGGCTAGTTAAGTGGGGAAAAAAATATCACACAAGATATACATTATCACAATAGAATGTTATGTCAAGCATTGGTTTTTGCGATAAGCCATTTAACATAATAAATAAGATAGTTAAAGGAAATTCCTGAGCTCATAGACCTGCATGTGGTAGGGGATGCATCAGAGTGGAATAAACACCACGCATATTGCGGCCATTCACCGCTTCATCAGGGGTGCCTTATTCTTTCATACAACTAGACATGTGCACTGCCAAAAAATTCGTTTAGTTTCGTTTCGTTTTAAATTCGGATTTGTGTTATTTCGTTTTTCGGGATTCGGGTGTGAAAGTCAATTCGGATTCGGAATTCGGATTCGGACGAAATTCGGTAGCGGTAGGTCGAACGTTCTTATTCGTTTTCTGTTCTTATTCGTTTCTTATTCGTTTCTTATTCGTTTCGTTCGTTCGTGACATTTGAGGGGGAAATAATATTTTTCTCCTTCTCTAATGTCACTTTGCTCCAGCGAACGAAACGAATAAGAAACGAATAAGAACCGAAAACGAAACGAACGTTCGAACTACCGCTACCGAATTTCGGAAATGGAAATTCGGATTCGTTTGCATTCGTTATGTCTGTAATTCGGAATTCGGATACATCCGAATGTCCGAATTTCTGAAAATTCGTCCGAATTTCGATTCGGAACGAAACGAATCGCACATGTCTACATACAACCCTAAGTGGTGTAAGCAGTACACATGTGCAATAATGATAGTACATTTATGGTTGGAAATTTTTCCTTTAGGACTCATTCTAAACGGCTTATTGTGTTTCTGTGGTGAGAGCAGTCTCACATGTTAAAACATGTATTTTTGGCCTGAAAATTACCTAATACAGTTAAAGATGAGGCTGTGTCAAGTAAACAGATACCAAATATGTCAGGCCTCAAACTGTGTGCACCGCTGCGAAATGGAGCAAAACTATGGTACCCAAAGTTATCAATAGTTAACATTTTAAATACCTTCATCGTTTATCAGTTTAGAGGAAACTATTAATAAGAGAACTATTAATAAGAGACCCAGAATTATTTATTTCACTCTGGTGTGCTCGGTGATACCCAGTATGTATTGTTTACATTTACATGCGCACCCTATGTACACATTTGCTATCATATGTGTGTGCAAGGGGGTGCTTTTAAACTGTTTTTTTTAAATTTTTATATATTTCAATATATAACAGTTTTTTTCCACACAACTTTATTGCTACCTCAAGGGGGCAAACAAGTCCCTTTGTAAGAGACTTGGGCAGGTGACAGGTATTCTATATGGAGATATCAGTGGTCATATGTGGGAACTTGCCAGAAATGATCCGGCAATGCCAGAATTTTTGCGAGATTGCCAGTTCATTACACGTCCTGCATGCTGAGCTCTGTATTCACTGGCTGAAGGAGGGAGGAGGGATAGGTGGCATATAACTGCAGGATAGGTGGGTAAGGGGTTCTCGGCATAGTCAGACATCGCTACCATGATTTCCAGCCGGCAGGAGGACCCAGGGAACCTATGAGCCATGCCACCAGAGGGGTAAGTGTTTGTGTGTGTGCAGTGTTATTGTAGTTATGTGTATGCTGTCATTGTCAATGAATGGAGTGTGCACCTAGCTGCCATGTATCTGCCTTTCCAGTAACACTGACAGTGCACCTGACTGCCATGTATCCGCCATTACAGTGACACTGACAGAGCCTGTAGGTGGCAGCCAGGTGCACCGTCAATGTCTCTGGAATGATGTGTGCACCTGGCTCTCACCTATCTGCCATTTCATTGATGCCTGTACAAAAAAAAAAAAAAACACCTGAAAAACAACCAAAGACTCTCAGCTCAAGCGTTCATTACATATTGATGTCGGTTTGATGTTATTGTTATTATGCTGATGTTGCTTTGAAGTTTGCAATCAGCTTTTTGTTTGCTTTTGTGAAGTAAACGGAGCACGAGCTTGATTTTAGAAGAGTTTGCACATTTTGCAGTAAATGTTTGTGTTCTGACTCTTCAAATAGTCCTCAAGGGCACTAGGAAGGGTCACAACGATGCACTGTCTGACTTGTCTAGGGAGCACATGGAAAAAGTATAACTTAAAAGTGAAGTTTGTCCAGGAAATAATCAAGGAATTTAAAATTGAATCTATATTCTAATACTTCTCTTTCCATAACTATTGATTTCTGTCATAATAAAAACGGCAATCACATATTCTGATGCATTCCATTTGGCTGCAATTATTAATAGACGATTTGAATAGAGCAGGGTACTAATAGATTATTAAATAGTTCTCCTGAATCCAGCATTTAAGTATTGGATAATTGTAATAAAGCTAAGCTGCATAAAAGTGTTCATACCTATGGATCTTAAAGCAGTACTAAAGCCAAAACTGTTTTGTTTTTATTTTGGATAGAGTTAAAGAGAGTTATAACTAGGGATGCACCGATACCACTTTTTTAAGACCGAGTACGAGTACCGATACTTTTGATCAAGTACTCGCAGATACCAATTACCGATACTTTTTCTTAAAGGGACAGGTCACATTTTTTATAAAGAGTACGAGTACTTACCCAAATACTCGGTATCGGCACTGATACCGATACTAGTATCGGTATCGGTGCATCCCTAGTTATAACCCCTGTCAGTTTTTTTTGCCATCTGTGTCCCATTGGGGAAATTTCACTTCACTTCCTGCCACAACATGAATTGAGAGGAAATGACTCCAAAGAGGGGGAAATCCCTGGTGGTCAGCAGGGTAACCAGAACTAGTGTCCGCAATGGAACATTTCCCATATAGTCTGGTTCTGGTGACAACTCAAAATTTGGGATTTTCTTTTCCTTTCACTTTCAGTTATCACAGCCACCAGGCGAAACAGAGAAGGTGAATCTCCATAACAGGGACACAGACAGCAATAAAAAACCTTATGGGTGTATAACCCCTCTCTACTCTATCCCAATCTAAAAAAAATTTTGGCTTCAAACTCTAAATAACAGGATCCTCACTAACACTGCTCATGTGATTGACTTGCTTGTCCTCCTAGGAGAACTTCACCCTTCCAATTAAAATTTTTGTCTTTTTCATTCTTATCTTTTTTTTAAAGATGTATTAAAGTGGACCCCCATAACTCTGACTACCTAAATACATTCTACTAACTAAAACATAGGCCTCATTCACATGGGACGTGTTACTCTGTACAGCATGAAGGACTGGTTTTTGGATGCGTCCAAGGCTCATTTAATTCTATGGAGATGCAGAACTATGCGTCATCACATGCTGCTTTCCGTAGCTCGAAGTTTTGACAGCAGCACACAGATAGTGCACGGAACTGGATCCATCATGTCTGCGTCCAGCTCTGTGCACCGTCTGTATTTGGCTGTCAAAACTCAGAGCTACGGAAAGCGTTGTGTGAGGGTGCACAGCTCCTGCATCTCCAGAGAGTTATATGCGCTGCCCACTCACGCATAAAAAGAACCAGCCCTTCACGATGTACGGAGCAACACACCCATGTGAATGAGGCCTACGAAAGTTGGAAGTACATACCTGGCTCCTTCTCACATACTTTCCTCAGCCTTAGCGCTCTTTGTTCTTTGCCAGTGGAAAATTTGTCCTTCCATTTGAAAATAATGTCTGATAAAGATGAAACACATTACATCAATAGTGGGCTGGCAGAGGAGACAGAAGATGCTGTTCCACCGATGACATCAGGCGGCACATCTCACACATGCACTATACTTTATTACCATACTGGGAAAAAGGACTTTTTTGTTGTTGTCAACAGATGATTCTAAGATGCGTCTCATCTCATGCATGATTTTGCTGGATCTAGTATATGTGTACTATAGTGGAGTAATGTTTTTAGCCAAATTATAAAGACCCTCCCCCATTAACACAGCAGAGTTTTACAATTTTCATCAGTAGTATCAGCAAGCAATACGTCAGTTAATTTATGCCATGTACTATCATATCTTCATCTCATATGCATCCTACATGTCAGTTATCAGCCTGCACTGAATGCAGAAACGATTTTATAATTTACACATTTGGCTGCCCCATAATTTACCTGGTCTGATTATATTACATAGACAAGATGCAGTTATCTCTAAACTGTATTGATTGGACATTGGATAAATGTTCACTGAGCTTAATTTTTACTCTGGTTTAAAGTTATACAGACAGTAAAAAACCAACGTAAAAGCCAGTAAATTAGCATTTTGCGTACTTTCCAAATGCATGTTAACATTCAGTGCCCAATACAACCCTGTCCTTTTATTTGCTGGCAACAATTAGCGTTTGTGCTGGATGTTGCAACATTACTAGTAATTTATCTGTCTCTCTGATGTTACGCTAAATAAATAGGCAAGACAGAAAAACATGTGTGTTGACCTAATATACTTCAGATGCTCTTGAATACTGTCCATGTATTTCATTAGGGGTGGTTTTCCAGATTTATCAAACACACTGATTTAAGGCCTGCCAGAAGAACACAATTTCAGCAGCCTATAGGATTTATGAATGAATATCCATCCTCTCCATTTATTTGGGTATTGCAAGTCACTGAACTTCATTTATGTAACATTGGTCAACATACTGCACACATTTGCTGTTTGATAGGGGCATTACAAATCAATGTAGACAGAAAAGTATGAGATCAGAGAGCTGTATTCAGGTACACAAAGCAATTCATAAAAACATTGGTTTATCAGCAGAAACTGACACTTTTCAGTGTACTGTCATTTGTAGCTATGTGAAATCTGTTTATGATCAATCATCTTAGGCTGGGTTGTGAATGACTCTCAGTAAGATAATGTCATAAAAGCTTTATGTGCGATATCTCTTCTAAGCTCCAATATTGCATATAGCCTTTATATAAATTAACTTTCAGGTTCACTGGTCCTTTACCACTGACAACTGTCTGTTGCCAACTGCCCTTTATAATCATTATCAGGGTTATTCACAAAAGGGTGAAGCGTTTGAAGAAGACAGGAGAAGTGAACAATATAGGGAGTGAGGCTGTGAGCCATGGTCTTGGAGCCTCCAGGAGCGGGGATCAGGCAAGAAAAAGTCCCTTATAAGGGCCCCCGAGACAAAAACAGCAGTTAACCCTTTGCAGTTTGCAGGTAGCCCCACTGCAAGGGTAGATTTTTTTTTTAAACTGGACATAGGCTTTCAATTAGCACTGCTCAGTAAATAAAAAGGAATAGGAAGCCAGGCACGGCCATGGCAGACAATTGCCAATAATAAATGTAAAAGTAAATTTACATCAAGGAGAGGGCCTTTTTATGTGGCTTTAAGGGTACATTAAAGATGCACATGTTCTTTAAATTACAGATTTGGGGGACATAGTAAAGCTGTATGTAGTGGTACAGAACAGCACAATGTTCACAGACAAACTTTGGAACGCTGGCAGACAAATGGCGGATTTGGGTCTTGGAGGATGGAGGTGTAGAAGGTTTTGTTAGCCAGCCATTGATCTGCTGGGAGTGCTGTGACTGTGTTGGTCGGCACTTTTGAAAAAATGTGCCCTACCACCAGTTTGTGTGTTTTTACCACTGCCTGCAGTACCTGCTCACCCTCTACTAACGCCATGCGCAGTATTTCTACCTCTCACTTTAGACTTGCCTCTGTAATATTGTTTGGGAGGTCAATGGAATGGCTTGCTTTTACTGAAGCTATGGAAATAGGGGATGAATATGTCCTGCTTTTGATGCACACTAGTAATGGCAAAAAATGTGGTGGCCTGCTGTGTTCAAAGGGCAGCTCCAACAGCTGTTCAGCAAAAAGTATATGCTGTACACCCCAAACTTAAAAAAAGCCCCTAGCAAAGCATAATAAACAAAAATATTCCCCTAATATAAATACACAGTGTATGTGTATAAATATATATATATAGATAGATAGATATCCATCTATCTATCTATCTATCTATCTATCTATCTATCTATCTATCTATCTATATATAAAACCATAAATGACTAACCACATAACACTAAAGCCCAATACCATGGAAAGAATAGAAGCATTTTATAGCTCAGTATTGTACTGTATAGCAAAGTATCTCTTCTTAAACAGAGTTGTCAGCGTTCGCTAATTAGCCCCAAAACACTGACAATTTGGCTCTTGGGAGCTCACCCTTTTACAGTCGGGGGCTGGCTTGTCCATTCTTTCAGATTATTGGCTCTGAGGGACCCATCTGACCAGGGACAAGTAAATTATGGGTTTGGGTATGTATTTTAAAACTGCAAAACCATGAGATCCACCTCAAACCCAAGGTGGCTCCAAACACAAACCAACTCCCTAAATATCACATTAAAACACTGCTGTTAAATAACACTATCTAAGTAAATACAAAGTGATGTTTTTATATGATCCACTTTTAAATAAGTATGTTTTCCCTCACAGGAAAGAGAGGTTAGTCTGACCCACATAGAATCCAGACCTTCTCGTCTCAACAAAGATGAGTACCAGTTTTTCATCAATTTGGACAACAAGAGTATCCCAGCTCTGGATGAGATTGTCAGATGTCTGAGGCAAGATATTGGAGCTACTGTGCATGAACTGTCCCGAGACAAGAAAAAGGATGCTGGTAAATGTTTTTTATAGTTTTGTTTATGAAAACTATGAATCCCAGTATGAATATTGTGCAATATTAGGCTTGCTAGTCTTCTTTTTGTTTATCTGTGCAAGCTTTGCTTATGGTTGAACTCATTGGACATGTGTCTTTTTTTAACTATGTAACTATGAGTGCAGTTTTTTCAGTTCAATATGTTTATTGAGAATTTTTAAATAATATATTTACAAGTGAAACAGAGACAGCTCCATATACAATCACAGCGCGTAAGATTAACAGAGTTTTACAATACCAAAATATACAGGAAATACAGTTAAACTTCCCTCAGTACAGCTGGAGAATAATAAACTGTGTATACCCAGGAGCCGAGGAAATATTACACACAAAGGAAAAAGTAGGGTTGTTAAGCGAAGGAGAAAGGCAGGGGGTAAAAGGGGATTTGTGGCTGGGAGAGCAGAGCACCCTGTAGGGCTAGGCTTAGAATGGATTAGAGGTCAAGAAGGCAAAAATCTAAATTTGGTGGAAGATTTTGTGCAACCCACAGGAACCACACACTTTCCCAAAGTTAGCTATTTTATCATGCAAGATTGCAGTCATCTCATCGTTGGTCATCATCCTTCGAAATAATCTTATATGTAATCAAGGTAGTGGATTGCCACTATTTAGCTACAACATGTTTTGTTCCAGTAAATATAATTGTTATAACCTTTAATTGTGAGCGAGTAACCCCGCCAAGTTTCTTGAGAAGTAAAGCCTCCACAGGGTCCTAAGTGAGTTGAAGATGGAATAAGGTGTTAATCATTTAATAGCTAGCCATCCACAATGCGTGAACAATTTAGCAGGTCCACCATATATGATGTAGGGTGCCTTTGCATCCTTTGAAACACTTCGGTAATCTCCCTGAATTGTATTTGTTTACACAGACTGGTACTAAGGACCACCTCTAAAACATTTGATAGTTTGTTTCTAGGGCAGTGGTGGCGAACCTATGGCACGCGTGCCAGGGAGGGCACACGGGGCACTCTCTGCTGGCACGCGAGCCCAGGTTCAGGGACCACCAATGGAAATAGATCAGACATGATCAAATATATCATGTACATGATCCGGGCCAGTCACAATCAGGCAGCGGCCTCTAAACAGGCAGATTAATCAGCCTGTTTAGAGGTCACCGCTGCCTGATTGTGACCGCCCCGACTACAGAGGCGATCCGGGACAATGCTGGCATTTTGAGGTAAATAAATTGATTTTGCGTCGCAGTTTGGGCACTCGGGTTCAAAAAGGTTCGCCATCACTGTTCTAGGGCATTCACATTGGGGAAACTAGTGTTTTCTGTCTGTCTTCTGTATTTCTTCAAATGTATATTGAGGCTCCCTGTCCCATTTGGACGAATATGTATATATATCTTGAAAAATGGCAACCGACATCATACAAAAATGATTGTGTGAGTTCACTAAGTATTGGTGCACATTGGGTAAAGGTCTATGTGGGACACCCCATATTAAATGCATCAAAAGAAAATATCATTTATTATCACATTTGATTGACTTTACAGACACATTTAAATAGTTTAAAAAAGCTTTTTATTTATACAAATGCATTAGAAGGAATATATATTTTTTTTAAAAAACGATTTTCATTTGTTGATCAAACAGTCCATTTTTTTTGTAGGTTTTCAAGGTCCAACAGCTGATTGCATTTTACTCATGTTTCATCCATAATAGGCTTCTTCGGGAGGATTTTGACAATACTCGCTGTACTAAAAGTAAAAAAATGTATAAATACACATGTAACAACTTGTCAAATGTGATAATTTGTAGACATGTGCAATTCGGTTCATTCCGAAATTCGTTTTGGACGAATTTTCGGAAATTTGGAGATTCGGATGCATCCGAATTCCGAATTACAGCTAAGACGAATGCAAACGAATCCGAAATTCCCGATTTCCCGAAATTCGTTATTGGACGAATTTCGTTGCAGCGGAATGACATTAGGGGGAAAAAATGACAACATTTTACCTCTACAACACATCTGTGCTTAAAGTACAGAGGCTATAGAGTAGTGGTTAAAGGACAGGCTTGTCATTGCTAAGGTCCCAGGTTCAAATCCAGGGCAACTAATGTTTACATTTTTTTTTTCCTTTGCTTTTGAATTGGCATTCTCCTAACATTCCTACCAGACCTAAAGGGTCTGGTATGAATTGGGGGAACCTCAGGCTTTTTTTTTTTCATCTTCTGCAGACTGTAAAAAAAAAAAAAAAAAGTCATTTTTGTTCCCCCTAATGTCATTTTGACACGAAATTCGTTATTGGATGATGATTTTTTTTTACAGTCTGCAGAAGATGAAAAAAAAAAAAGCGTGAGGTTTCCCCCCAATTCATACCAGACCCTTTAGGTCTGGTAGGAATGTTAGGAGGGACCCCCCCTCCTTATAACACAAAAAAAGTGCGTGGGGTTCCCCCCAAAATCCATACCAGACCCTTAAGGTCTGCATTGCACTTCAGGTGTTAACCAAAAACAATAAGAAACAAAATCTTACAAGGTTTATGTCAGCTATTTAAATACCTTGGACCAGACCTATGGAGAATGGCTCCACCTGGGGGTCGTGGGAGAGGCAGTTAACAAAGCCAGAGCGCCATGTTGCAAATCCAGAAGCTGTGCATAAACAATTAAATGTAAACCCATAACTATAGGTTAAAATATCTGCATAGCCAAAGGGTAATATATGGCATATAGCAGTAGGGTAGCATACAGTATCTAAAAAGCTCACAGTATTTCCTCTGCAAAAAAAAAAAAGGGGCAGAAAAATTACAACAAAGTCCCAAATCAGAGTGGACATAACACAATTGGGGGTGGGGGAGCTGGAAAAAGTGTCTTAATATAACAATTATTGAGACACTTTTTCCAGCTCCCCCACCCCCAATTGTGTTATGTCCCCTCTGATTTGGGACTTTGTTGTAATTTTTCTTCCCCCTTTTTTTTTTGCAGAGGATATGCTGTAGGCTTTGTAGATATGCTACTCTATTGCTATATGCCATATATTACCCTTTGGCTTTGTAGATATTTTGTACCTATAGAAAGGGATTTGGCATCGTATACTATAATGAACTGCAGATTAAATGGGTTAACATTGAGGAAGTCAAAAAAGTTCAAGTGGTCCAGACCTGAGTGCTATATCTTTTTTTGGTTATGGTGATAACACTTTAAAAACTGTTTTACATTATCTCCACTGCTTTACATATTGATTACATCTTTTCAAGAGCTATGATGCCCATAGGATCCTCTACACCAGGGGTGCCCATTAGGTAGATCGTGATCTATCAGTAGCTCTCAAAGCTGATGCTGGTAGATCACGAAGGGTGTGAATGGTGGCCCAAGGAGAGACAGCCAGGAGAGAGAGAGCGAGGGAGGTTTTTTTTCAGTTGGTAGATCTCATGTAGTTCGTCATTTGAAAAGTAGATCTTAACACAAAAATTGTGGGCACCCCTGCTCTACACAATTAATGGCACCACAGTGGAACCAATGCAATGTGCCTTACCGTGCATTGCAGTAGCACATGTGTTACCGCAGTGAAGTGGTCCTAAATACATAACTGAACCTATGCGCTTATGTTGGGGAATTGAAAAAGACTGAATCTACTGTAGCAAAAAAGCTGATTTACAACCCAAGCACTCACTAGAGGCTGCCAAGCTAAGAAGCATGGATCACTAGCTACTTTCCAAGGGCCAAGGATGCCCTCAAGTGGCTGCTTCTACTGCTGCAGTTACTGTCTTATGTTCATACTTGGGCAATAAATAATTAGCCTATTTAATTGTCCCAATATAGTAGAATTGCATTTATCATTCTTTACTCATCTGCTAAAGTATTATGGCTTGTGACTGGCCAAGTGTTGAAAAGACCTGTCTGTAGGTTTGTGTTATTTTCTTATTTTTTTCTTTATTACTAAAAAAAAAAACCTATTTAAGAGATACCTGTACTTTACAAAACATTTGAGGGTGTCTATTTTAAGAATTTTTTTAAACTCCTACAACCTAAAGTCTCATTAACCCAATGCTGCCTCCCGCTACTAACACCTAACAATAACAAGCCACAAGACCACTGGAAAAGACATAAAGTATTTCCTTTCAGGAGATTCCAATCTCTTTTGCTTATGCATGGATTCCTATTGCTAGGTCTAAGCTGCAGCTCAGGACAGGATGTACAGTATGTGCACTTATAGGCACTAATTGGCTGTTTAGGCAGGGACAACAAAGCAGTGCCTCTACCTCAGACATGTCCACGTTAAGTTTCTGATCAGTCTTATTCTTTCACCTCCCATTGGCTCTCATTGGCAAAATAACATTAAATGTAATACCACAGGGGATGCATTATCCTACATACTGTATATTGCTCTAACAAAAACACTTATTAACCGGTAATGGCAAATATTTGTAGCATGATTATGTCAAAGCTACCAGCTTAGAGCTGAACTCTAGGCAGATTAAAAAAAACACAAATAAATGCAGCTCTGTAATCACTAATACATCATTAAATGTATTTCTTAAAAGGCAAGCAATGTAAGTACAGTCCGCTGTACAGCAGGGATTAGACTGGGGGAGGGTCAAGCAGTACAAGGAGACAATCAGGTGCTGTAGAGAAGCATGCTGAGAGAAAGCAGAGGAACAGAGAGATGAGCACATCACTGTGCTGTCTCTCCTTTGCTGTCCAGTCACAGACTGGTGGCAGATCCAGAATGACCTGGGCTCAGAGAAAGTGGGTTGAATGATGCTAGCGGCCAAAGAAAAGTTCTCTAGGGAGGGGAAGTATAGATGTTAGGTAAGCTGGCTGCTAATATACAGCTGGTGCTCAACTAAAACAACTCAACCCATACACAAGCTCAACTAATATCCACTTGGTGAATCTGGTGTTTCCTTATTCGCTTAGATAAGCAGATTTTCATTTTGCTAAGTGAGGTCTCACTTTCTCTACACTTTAAAGCAAAAATAAACTGCTTTGTACAATTTTTTGTTTTTGCATACC